CAGTAGTCATGTGTGGATGTGAGAGTTGGACTATAAAGAAAGCTGAGCACCGAAGAATTGATGCTTTTGAACTGTGGTGTTGGAGAAGACTCTTGAGAGTCCCTTGGACTGCAAGGAGATCCAACCAGTCCATCCTAAAGGAGATCAGTCCTGCGTGTTCACTGGAAGGACTGATGTTGAAGCTGAAACTCCAATACTTTGGCCACCTGATGTGAAGAACTGACTCACTGGAAAAGACCCTGATGCTGGGAGGGATTGAGGGCAGGAGGAGAAGGGGACGACAGAGGATGAGATGGTTGGATGGCATCACAGATGCAAGGGACATGAGTTTGGGTAAACTCTGGGAGTTGGTGATGGACAGGGAGGCCTGGTGTGCTGCAGTCCATGGGGTCGCAAAGAGTCGGACACAACTGAGCGACTGAACTGAACTGAAAGTGAGTGAATTGCTTGTGAAAATTATACCTCAATAAAGTTAACAACAGTAATTCCAGAGAAGACCAGCTACGTGAATCCAGCCAACATTCTCTCTCTATAAGCAAACTACACAAGCTACGTTGTAAGCAGAAATTTGGTTGGGACATAAATTCAGAGCAAGTTGAACTGGCTCTATGTGATTAGAATACCTCCATTTACATCACAGACATACAATCACTTCAGATGTGGAGTCTATACTTTAGTGTTTGCAGTTTTCATTTTTCTAGGTTCTGCTGGCCAAATAAGCACTCTTCTGGTACAATGCCTACTTGTAGCCTACAGATCAGGTTATGTTGTCCTGGGAACCACTTTTCATCTTAAAACTTCAGATATCTCGGCTCTTAACTACCATGAGTTGTGTTTACAGCCTCCAGGCCAATTTTGTTTCCGAGTTGCAGTGTTCAGACTCGGGGGGAAGAGGACAATGGTTGACTTTTTGTCCCTATCACAACTTTACATCAGAAACGGAATGGCAATGAGGTGATTTTTATCTTATAAAAAAATTTCTACAGGCACACAACGAGCAGGGCAGAACTGCCTCTCTTTGCAACGTGACGTGAAAGTAAGGCTGCCAGGTAAAACATACGCAAGTCCCACAGAATATTTGGGATGCACACAGACTTAAAAATTACTCATTGTTCATCTGAAACTAAAATTTAACTGAGATCCTGTATTTCATTAGCGAGTAGACATAGAAGCCCTGGGAATTGCAGAAAAACATACTGTCCAAATAACTTTGGCAAAAAAAGAGTGGAAGACCCAAACTCCAGGCTGTCAAACAACCTTGCATCGGAGTTGGCAAGAGCTACCTGTAGCAGAGTAAAAGAGAAAAATCCGAAGTGTTACAGCCGAGTGAGAAATAGTAGTAGTCTTGGGAGGAAGGGCAGGATCACAGTCCAGGGAAGGATGGAAGGAGAACTTCATTTCTTATAATAATTTCTGATCAAGAATTCCCCACTCAGCCTTTCTACGTGGCAGCGGCCAGAGAGCAAGCGCCTACAAGGAAGGAGCTCCACTTTGCGGCCTGGGTGATGAGTCGGACGATTTTCCCACGCCAGTCGCAAGACACCTGGCAGGGCACCAGCGCTAAGTAACCGAGAGAAGCCCCGCCAGACCGGATGCGGAAGTGAGGAGTGCGTTCCGCCACGCGGCCAAGCCCCGCCCCGCGGCCGAGCCCCGCCCCGGCCGCGCCCACCAGGCCCGGCCTCGCGGGGTGACGTGTCTGAACTCTGAAGGCGGAAGCGCAGCCCTCGCAGTGGGCGGGCCAGATTGCGTCTGGAGCCGGGAGACCATTGTTACAGAGGCAGACATCCCTTTTCCGGGTTTTTGCTGATGCTGAGCTCGGCGGATAGAGGTGGTGATGTGGATAGGGAAGCAAGAAGACACGCCTTAGACACCCCCACTGCTGCGGGCTGGGTCTCCAGTAGCCATTCGACGGCGATCCGTCAGCCTGCCCCCTTTCTTTCCTCTGTGAATGGAGGAGGATAAACGCGCGTGGAAAACGTCAGGTTTCTGTCAGCGCTGAAAGTCTGTTGTTTTTCAGTCGCTCAAGTCGTGTCCGACTTTTTGTTATCCCAGGGACTGCAGCACGCCAGTGTTCCCTATCCTTCACCATCTCCCCGAGCTTGCTCAAACTCATGTCCATTGAATCGGTGATGCCATGCAACCATCTCATCCTCTGTCGTCCCCTTCTCCTGCCTTCAATCTTTTCCAGCAGCAGGGTCTTTTCCAATGAGTTGGCTGATCGCATCAGATGGTTGAAAGTCTGTGACTGTCAATTCAGATCTAGAATTGATGTGGTCGGGCCAGTACCACTTCCAGTAGTGTTCCAGTTACTAGCTCCTCCTTCGTGTTCCAGACGCTACTGTAGGCTCCCGGGGTGTAGAGCTAATGGGGGGGAGGGGTGGCGGGTGAGGCAATCCACAAGTAACCTCGTTAATGCCAGGAAGCGGTAAGTTTTGGAGTGTCAGCGTTAAGCAGAAGAGTGGAATTGAGTGATTTAAAGATTTTATAAGGTCGCTATTGTCAAGAGTGGACGCTGAGAAGCTATTGCAGGAAGTACACGTCCGAGAGAGCTAAGATTTTGGCTTGGACTAGAGTGTAGCTGTGGATTTGCAAAGTATTGAAAGGACTTAGCGTACTTCAGCGACCCAGCGAACACAGCTTGTTGAAGGACTGTATGTGGTGAATGAAGAAGAAATTTAGGTTATCTTCTAGGTTTGGGGCTTGAGAAGCAGGTGATGTGCAAAACAGGAGGAAAAGGTTGGAATGGGGCCAGTGAGATGGTGAAGATCAAGTATTTAGTGGCACCGGATAAACAGTGGACAAGAAATGTTCATTTTTCTGCCCCTTTCTAAATGTAGAGAACATTTGCTTCCTCTTATTATATTGGAAATCTCTATGACTTCAAGTATGGAAGTCTTTTCACAGCCCAAATAAATTCAACAACTATGTTCATTGATTTGCCCAAGGGAGAAGTGACCTAGACTGGATGCCACCGCTCAGGCCCCTTCAGCCTCCTACTCACAACCCCCCAACCCCAGCTTTCTTATAAAAATGGCTCCCTTTTCTCTTTCCTCTGCCTGCGCTTAACGTATATTCTGGCCCTCTCTCCCATCCTCCCTTAATCTTCCCAACGATCTAAAGAAGATGGACAAACTTTTTACTTCCCAGTTCTCCCTATGACCTGGAACTTGATAAATTAATTTGCCCAAAGTGCACGTTACTGGATAGTAGTGTTCCAAAGCTGCAGTTCTTCGTGGGCACTACCACCTCTGCAAGCAAGAATTCTTCCATTGTTCGGTTATCCCCACAGAATACAGATCAGTGGTTCTTAGCCTTTTGCTGGGTCATAGATTCCTTTGAAAATTTAATAAATGTTATAAAATTTCCAGGGGGGAAATGTGCAGATACTCAAAGAATTTAGATAGAGTTGCATGGGGCTCTACACTTTTCTGAATTATCCTCTTAGCAAACTTGCCCATTCTTGAATTCTGAGCTGGGGGTACGTCTGGTTTATAATTCCTTGCTATGTGCTCTAAATTGATGCCTTCTTCTGCAGATTTGATTGAAAGTTAAACGTCAGAGGAATGGACTTTGTAAACAAAAACTGTGGCCCATACTTCCAGTTCTGCAAGGACCAAGCCATTTGCTACTGCAGTCACCCAACAACAGTGCACCCTGAGGGGAATTCAGGATGGAGGAAAAAACAAGAATATTCTGTGCTTTGGAGCCTGGCCCTGAAGAGTTAAAATGCATATCTAAGGAATAATTTCACTGAACTCAGATTCTTGCATCTGCTCATATATACAAACGCACTAAAATCTTTAACTTGAGATGTCTATACTTTGTGATTAGCAGTAACCTTTTGATATTGGCCTAGCTATTTTGTTCCAGCCAAAAAACTCATATACATCCTGTCTCCTCCCTTACCTCTTGAGATAGGTTCTTCAGAGCTATCTGAGAGGGGGTTTTCTATGCTATGTTCCTCAGTAAGGTCCCTAAATAAAACTTAAAACTTGCATGTTGTGTTTCCCCTTGTCACCAAAAGCAAGTTTCTCCTGGAACAATGTACCACACACACAAAGTACGTCATGACAAGCAGCGCGTCGCTTCAATAGGGAAAGTGACAAATTTGCTCAAGTATGATCATACCAGATTTCTATTTTGCATGAACTACATTTCTCACTGGGCTCTATAGAGTATGCCCATGTCTTCTTTGGTAAAGAAATGTCAACCTCATCTTCCCCTACTTGCCTAGTCCCATGTACCTCCCCACCTCATTTCCACTCACCCTTAAAGGGAGTCTTATTTAGTCTATGCAAACACTATGCAACAAACAAACAAATTGTCCCACGCAAGGAGCCACTGCATCCAATATTGGGAACCGGGCCCTGCAAACACCTCTGAGTAGCTACTTGAAGATTGGGGGCTGGTTTCTCCCCCCTTTTCTTCCTCATCCTGCACCTAACCGTCTCCCAAACTTCTCCTTCCCTCTGCCAACTCAGCCTTCATCAGCAAGTACTTTGTGTAACATTCCAAGTCCGTAATGGGGGTTGGTGTGCCTCAGGCACTGAGGTGAAGAAAACAGTAGGAAAATAGGGCAAGGCAGCAAGCCTGGGGCGCTGGGCAAGTGAGACACGCTCCCCGACGCCCCAAGGGGGCTCCAGATCGGAATTTGGAATCGGAATGCGGGCGCTGGAACCGCTCTCGTAGCAACAGCCCCAGCCGGCCCGCCGAAAACATGGAAAGTGGATTTCCTCGCTGCGCCTTCCCGGAAACTCCCCGGGGCGCTCGCTGCCGTTCGCACGGAGCATGTGCGGGCGGCCTCGCGCATGCGCCGTCGAGGTCCGGGTCGGTTTCTGTTGCGGAACCCGCGGCGTCTCCTAGCGCCACCGGAACTCTCCGTCGCGGGGCCGGCCTCCCTCAGCTCGGGCGGCCTGCTCGTCGTCTCCGAGCCTCCCCCCGTCCCTCCTTCCCTCTTTTCCACCCCGCGGCTCGGCCGCCCTTTCCCCGAAACAGCCGTCATGAGCGCGAGGCTGCCGGCGCCGTGTCCCCCTCGGTGGTGGTTGCTGCTGTCGCTGCTCCTGCTGGGGGCGGCGCCGGGCCCGCGTCGGGGCGCCGCTTTCTACCTGCCCGGCCTGGCTCCCGTCAACTTCTGCGAGGAAGAGAAGAAGAGCGACGAGTGCAAGGTGGGCGCGGCCCGGCGGACCACACTCCCCTCACCCTGCCCTGGGAGGAACTGGGGTCCGAGGGGAAGGGGGCGTAGCCGCCGTGGGGCGGGAGTTGCGATCCGTGTCCCCCCTCTCAGAAGCGCGGGGCCGCGGGTCGGAGGCGTCTCCTGAACGGCCTCGGTGAGCGGCGGGGGTAGGTTTGTGGAGAACTCGGTGGGCCTCGGCGCGCCTCAGGTCCAGCGGGGCCAGGTCGAGCGAGCAGGTGTGTGTGTGCGTGTGTGTGTGTGTGTGTGTAAGAACTGGGGGCGGTGTGCTGCGCGCGGCGGTGAGCTGCGTGCGGGTCGGCGAGCGCTCCGCGGGTGAGAGGGTGTGTTCGCTCCACGGCGCCAAGGAAGGGGCCCCCGCCAGATCTTGCAGGAACTTTTTCATCTCATGGCTTCCTCAGTTTTCTACTTTTCTGGAACCCTGGTCGGTTATGAGGACTTGTGCTTTCTAGGACTTGGGGGTGTATTTTTAACCTCACGATTATGAGTCGCTTCCTTATTTGTGGGGTTGTTACACCCGGAACCGTGTGACTTGCATTTAATAAAGAATTGCTGTGATGGCTGAGACCGTTCACGTCTTAACCGTTTAAGTGTTAAAAAAAAAAAGTTTTTAGTATGCAAAAATATGTGTATAGGATCCCACTGTTTAGTTTCTCTAAGACGGTTTTGAACACTTAAAAGGAGCAGGCGACGTTTTCTTCCTAGGACAGACCTTGAAAACTTTGTGATCTCTTAACGACCTCAAACCCAAGGCTTTTCAGTTTTAACTACTTTGTAAAAGAGACAGAAGTAACCTGCTTTGGGGTTATTCGGTGTAGGGCAGGACAGTATACCTACGCAATTATTTTAGATGGCTAAAACTTACCCTTTGGGGCGCGAGAAAAGTCTTTGAACCGTTAATAATTTTAACAATTCAAATAGTCGTTCAGCAGACTTTTACAATCTATAAATAGGTTTATTTACTAAGTTTGAATTTTTTAAGCTGGTGTTAATTTTATTACTACTAGCTTTACTATAGTTGTGAATTTTGAGCTTATTTTAGGGCACTAAAGAAGCTGTTAAATTTTTCATGGCGTTTTACAGTTTCTGTTTAAAAAATTGGATCTCTAAAAATGTCTAAAGATCTTTAAGCTTCACGCAGGTTAACAGCGCTTCAGTACTGTAACTCTGGTACCTTGCAGTGCAAGGCGCTTTCACTCACAGTTCTGACTGAAAAAAAAAAAAAAATAGTGCTTCCAAGCCGAAGAGAGAGCTAGTCCCACAAGCACACTAGTTTTTCCATTAAATATTTTAGTAACCAGCCTTTAAAACTTAGTGTTTGGTGTTTAAACTTAACAGCAATTGTGTATTGTATAACTCGAGCCGTTAGAGACAAAAATATTCTTGTCTCCCAGGAAACTCAAAGGTCATACGCTTATGACAGATTATCAGAATGTGATGTTATAAAAGATGTATGTCCAAAGAGCTCTAAAACACAAACGAGGAAACATCTGTGGATTGGAGTCTTCAGGGAAAGCTGCAGAGAGGAAGTGACATTTGAGATGGACTTCAGATATGAGTATGAGTGAAATTTACAGGTGTTCTTCCAGTGAGGTAATTTTGTTTCCTCAACAGGTTCTTTAGGTAGCTACTTTGTAAATTTTTAAAATAGTAAATTCTTGATTAATTTCAAGGAGTCCTTTTGGTGTTTTCATTCTCACAGATGTAGGGATAAAACAGGCAAGACAGATCATGTTTGATTTCTGAGATGTTTGGATTTCTTCTCTGTGGCCAGCTGCATTCACATCTTGGTCAGTGGTAGCAAATCTCAGACCGGTACAAAGATATACTTTTAGCAGTTTTTCCCTAGAATTTGACTAATTGGTTTAGGGAATTTAAAGTATACTTTAACATTTCTTCTCTTTGCCTCTGAAAGGAGAAAAACAATAAACAGTCTAAACTTTCATTACATCAATCAGGGAATTAATCATTTTTTCTCATCATTCCATGTTTGTTAAGGAAGACAGTCTTCTGTACACTGTCAGAAAAATGGAAAGAACTTATTTTTAAAATTGGAATTGGAATTGTGAAATGGGAATAATTATAAATAATCATTTATAATAATTATAAATATATTAAAATACATTATAATTTCTAAATATATAAATATTATTATAATTATTATAAATGATTATTTCCAGAAGATGCTGTTCAGTTCAGTTCAGTCGCTCGGTCGTGCCCGGCTCTTTGCGACCCCATGAACCACAGCACGCCAGACCTCCCTGTCCATCACCAACTCCCAAAGTCCACCCAACCCATGTCCATTGAGTCGGTGATGCCATCCAACCATCTCATCCTCTGTCGTCCCCTTCTTCACCTACCCTCAATCTTTCCCAGCATCAGGGTCTTTTCAAATGAGTCAGCTCTTTGCATCAGGTGGCCAAAGTATTGGAGTTTCAGCTTCAACATCAGTCCTTCCAATGAACACCCAGGACTGATCTCCTTCAGGATAGACTGGTTGGATCTCCTTGCCGTCCAAGGGACTCTCAAGAGTCTTCTCCAACACCGCAGTTCAAAAGCATCAATTCTTTGGCACTCAGCCTTCTTTATAATCCAACTCTCATATCCATACATGACCACTGGAAAAACCACAGCCTTGACTAGATGGACCTTTGTTGACAAAGTAATGTTTCTGCTTTTTAATATGCTGTCTAGGTTGGTCATAACTTTCCTTCCAAGGAGTAAGCATCCTTTAATTTCATGGCTGCAATTACCATCTGCAGTGATTTTAGGTTAGGAAATCAGGAGTTGGATGAACTGGGCAGGTCATTGATAACCATTTCCATCAGTTTTTTTCCCATCTGTAAAATAGAGGTTATCATATATGCCTGTTATATGGTGGTGGTGGTTTAGTCACTGAGTTGTGTCCCAACTCTTTTGTGACCCCATGGACTGTAGCCCACCAGGCTTCTCTGCCCATGGGATTTCCCAGGCAAGAGTCCTGGAGTGGATTGCCATTTTCTTCTCCAAGGGATCTTCCTGACCCAGGGATTGAACCTGGGTCTCCTGCATTGTAGACAGATTCTTTACTGGCTGAGCCAATACACTCTGTTTATTATATATTCCCCTTGAAGGATATTTTGCCTTCACTAGAGAGAAAGTACAATATTTATCATTGTTGCAGTATTATACAATATTCATAGGTGTAGAGATGAATCAAGTTTATCTTCAGTGTAAGTGTAATTTATGGAGTATAGTCTTTACATAACCTGTGAAGTCCATGTCCTGTATCTAGCTCACTATGTATACTGAGAGATGGTCAGAAGAACCCTGAGGATTCAGTTATTTTCTCCTCTCAAAATTATTTTATGTTCACTTTATTGGCATAGAATCAGGAATCCAGTGAACATCAAATCCTATTCATATTCTTCTAGCTTCTGATTTATGATCTTCATTTACCTTTATAAATGGTATGACTGTGTTCTGTGGCTTTGTGTGTGTGTGATTTTTTTTTTTAGCTTGCTATCATTACATGTACATTTGAACATCAGCTTAGTGCACGTTTTCATGAGGTTTCTATTGACTATATAGTATTTCATTGTTTTAGTATACTATGGTTTAATTTCTTGCTTACAGGGCATTTCGATTGGTCCCGATTTTTCTCTACTATAAATAACATTGCTAGGATGTATTTAGCAGGAATTACTTGCGTATTCACAACTTACTTGATCAAAGGCAAGAAACAATTTTATAGCCCTATTTAATATCTCCAGGTTTTTTCCAAGAAAGATATATTTGATTTACAGTGCCTGTATGCATGCTAAGTTGCTTCAGCCATGTCCTACTCTTTTGGACCCCATGGGCTCTGTCCTTGGGATTCTCCAGGCAATTATACTGGAGTGGGTTGCCACGCCCTCCTCCAGGGGAGCTTCCTGACCCAGGGATCAAGCCTGTATCTCTGTCTCCAGCATTGGTAGGCGGGTAGTTCACCACTGGCACCACCTGGGAGGACTGTCATGAGCTAAATGACTCCCTCTGTCTCTGTAGAATTTTATAGTTTTTATTTATAAATTTAATAGCTTTGTCATGGTACCCAAAACATTTTTTTAGTGCTGCATTACTTTTGCTGCTATTGACGTTTCTCTTTTTTTTCTCTTATTTTGTTAGTTTTTGAAGCCACAGTATTAAAGAATTAAACCATGGTATTCCTTTCCTCTAGCATTTTACTTTCTTAAACTCAGGGGTAATGTGTTGACGACAATAAGTAGAATAAGTCCTGGTCAAGAGTGAATAGATCTTCACAGGGTAAAATGTGCAGTTAGCTTTAAACTGAGTCTTAAGTGTATGGAGTGGCATTCTAATGGCTAATAGCTGAAGATTAGTAAGCAGTTCCGGAGAAGGCAATGGCAACCCACTCCAGTAATCTTGCCTGGAAAATCCTGTGGACGGAGGAGCCTGGTAGGCTGCAGTCCATGGGATCGCTAAGAGTTGGACACGACTGAGCGATTTCACTTTCACTTTTCACTTTCATGCATTGGAGAAGGAAATGGCAACCCACTCCAGTGTTCTTGCCTGGAGAATCCCAGGGACAGGGGAGCCTGGTGGGCTGCCGTCTACAGGGTCACACAGAGTCGGACACAACTGAAGCGACTTAGCAGCAGCAGTGAGCAGTTAACCCTTGCTGGTTTTAACTTTCAAGCAATTATTTAATGGCTTGTGAACATGAACAAACTCTAGAAAACGTCTGTCGCTTTTTTACTGTTTGATTTATAGATAATGTTCTTAGATGAAAGATTAAGATTTTCTTTCCTGTCTTAGATGAAAGATTTAAGATTTTCTTTCCTGTCTAGTAAGGGGAAATGACCAAATGTACCCCCTAGTGGTTAAGAAAAAAAGTTTAAATTGAATTAGTTTAACAACTTTTTAAATTAAAAATCAGAATCTCACATTTAAATTTCCTTTCTTGGTAGTTATTTTTAGAAGCTTTTAATAAAT